CCCCCTCTAAACTCTAAACCTATTATTTTTATTAAATTATTAATTAAAATTCAAACCTTCTAAATTCACTTAAATAATTTTAAAAAACGTCTACAGAAATAAGCTGGATCCCACGATGAAGTAGAGTTTCGTGAACTAAGAAGCAGACGGATGTGTGAAGAAAAGTTTTCAGACACCGAGTTCAAACATAAAAGCCTCGAATAGATTTTATATGAAAAAAATTATTAACAGTCCAGAGACTCATTTCAAAATCACTAAATTTTCCTGCAAGGCTCATATAAAACTGCCATACATACATTCGCATTACTGAATGCCGCCGCCGCATTAATCGCTGCAATGCGCGCTCACTGTTCGCCCTAAGGACATGCGGGCCATACTTGATCTTGATTAAAAATTCAAAATAAACATACAAAAAAAGGACAGACAGCAAAATAAATAGGCTGAAAAATTTAAAAGTGAATTTATAAAGCAACACCGACGAAAATTTCGCATAAAACCACACACAATGTGGGTGAGAAAAAAATGTAAACGCCACTAACTAAAAAAGCAAAAAAATACACAAAATTAAAAAACGAGGATCGCCAAAAGTAAAAACGCAAAAAAAAACGTTTAAAGTATAGCAGGAAACAGAATGAATTGTTCGCTGAAATGACTTGACAGCATAACCACAGCAGCCCACCTGTATAACAAATGAAGTGCACGAATTGTAGATGAATAAGCGCCAGCGAAATAACGATGCCGTACTGTTATAACCCAGCAAACCGAAAGGAATCTTCGCGTATCGGCAGCATTGTAGGGCATCATTTTTCTAGGTCAGAGGAGTTGTCTCGAAGAGCTCCTATCCACATTGCACGAAGCCAAATGTTGCTCCTAACGAAAAAGAAAAATTCATACGTCCTACTAGTTCCTACCCTCCGGCTTTGGACCACTCGGTATTTATCCCATCGGTCATCCGTATCCATATAGATCGATAAATATAACGAAAGTTCTGAAATAGTCCGCAAAATCCGTAAGTAGTCCAAAAAGTCCCGAAGTGGCCCCGAAGATCCCGATACAGTCTCCAGAATCCCCAAAGTTTTAAAAATACCGGAAATTTCCGTGTAATCCGGAGAATCCTGAAAAACCTGCAAATCTCGAAGTAGTCTCGAAAATTCCGAAATAGTCCCAAAATCCCTAAGTAGTCGCGAAAATACCGAAATATAACAATTAATTACAAACTAGCTGAGCATCATCGTCAGGCATGGGCAGAGACTTAGCAGGTCCTAAAAGAGCGTAAGCTTCGCGTATACGTATACAAGCGAGAGCGTAACGATGAGAACGCGACAGCAAGCAAAATGAATTGGATACACCAACACATTCTCACTTTTATCTCACGCTTGTTTGTGGTAGTGCCCACCTCTGATCATCGTATGTATTTGCGTTGCATAAAAAAGTATTATTTAGTTGAAAAGTCACGAATCAAATTGATCCGTTCCAAAAATCAAATCTCAAATAAATTGTGTTCTTTATTTGGTCGACGAATCAAATCACAAATAATTTTTTGTTTCTTATTTGGTTCACAATCAAATCAAAGATAAAAATAATTTTTTTTATTTTGTTGACGAATCAAATCGCAAATAAAATTGTTTGTTTATTTAATTGACGAATTAAATATATTTCTTAATAATCACGCACCCTGCCCCTAGGATTGTTCTATACCAAAAAAATATACCCCTGTTGCTTTATTTTGGAATTAAAAAACATTTTTACTTAGCTCAAAGCAATCAGAGTTTTTCGTATAAATGTTGTAGAATTCTTGAAAAGCAATATTTTTTTATCGGAAAACTGTTTCTCTTTAGGAGAATTCCAATAATAATTTGTTTATTTAACAATTTTTTGATATTAGCTATTTATTGTAGGTCGCGAAAAACCCCGAAAAATGTAGTGAGTGGAACCATAAAAAATCGCTAGTATTAAAAAATGTTAATATAAACAATTGGATGTTATTACTGAAAGTATCCTGAAGAGAAATAGAGTTGTCCTATCGAAACATATTGATTTTCAAGAATTCTTTACCATTTCTACGAAAAGTTTGTTTTCAAAAGTTGGTTTAACAGACACTATGCTGACAATATGGAATAACTTCTGTTAGAAGTATGTGCTTCCTTCTTGGCTCTCATAGAGGGCATTCACAATGGACGGGCAGAGCTGCCTCCGACTGGAAGTACGAGTCATTTATTGCCATTAGTCATGGTAAATTGACTCACTCATTCCAAAAATGTCCGAAACTTAAATCTGCAAATGGTTTATTGGTCAAAATACAATAAACTTCGCTTTAAACTCCAGCGGCGGAAGAATAAGCTGACCAATGAATACCGTGAGTGCAGTCACCACCAACGGCGAAATGCTACATATACAAATGTACATCTGCAGTAATACATACATACACTTTTCATTGCGAAGATGCGTGCGGTAGCTTTTAAGTCGAATTCGCATAATTTTTGTCCCCCTTTCTTCGTTCCTTTCTTTATTATGTACTCAATGGACATACCCAAATGCATATTTGTGCTTCTTTAGTTTCATTCCCAGCATTAGCTCTTCTTGGCCGCCAACAACATCAACTACAACAACCAGGCTTACATGCATGCGGTACAACTGATTATAATATTTACTTACAATTTATCGCAATAAACGAATGAGAAAATCAAAATGAGATACGCATCTTCTTCAGTAAACGTGTGTGGCGCGAACTCAGTCAAATTGTATGTATGTATGTATGTATGTATATGATTGCGCTTATACGGATCAGCCTCCGTACCAGCCTTCTTTTGCTTGTCTACCCTTTCATTGCAGCTTCCTTCTGCTGCTCTTTGGCTGCTCCTCCTACTGGGCAACTTACGGTATCGTAATAAATTTTAATAAAGTTGTCATACATGTTGGTCCTGACAAGAATTGCAAAAAAAAAAATTGTATACGTTAACGATAAGCGTGCAGATTCACCAAGATCGCATACATACGCACATCTGCAGCGTACCAGTAATTCAAAATAAGTATAATTTTCTCATACGAATCCATAACTTTGGCTGCTCACTTTACCGATATGTAAGACTTTGTCCGTGACATCTGAATAAAAAGTGGACTGTTCCTTCTGTGTTTGTGTGTGTGAGTGACATTGTGTGGTGCTCTACCGTGACGTGCGCGGCTTTGAGCCACATGGCGCTTTGAAAGTTGTAAAGATGTAATCAATTCAAAATACGCGTTTATGCGAGTGTCAGTGAAAGAAATTGCGCAATTTCTTTGTTGTGAGTGTTTGGCGGACATAGAGCGGAGCCTAAAAATTGGCAAGGGTGAGCATCACGATCCGCTGCATACTGTCTAGCATGGTACATAGATAGCATAAATAGCATGATTGGCTAATTTTCTTGTTGTTTGATCACATGAAAAAATAAAAATCATGCTAGACAGTATGCACCGGATCGTGAATACCCCTATTGAATTGGTACAGAAATAAACGAAACACCCATTCTGTGATGAACAGGATGGAAAACCGCAACGAAAAAAAAACTTCTCATTCCGCTAAATCTTATTGTGAATGACTTAAACGAGGTTCCAAAAAATAAGAAATACTATTTCTACCCTAAAATATGTGATCACATTTTTTTTCGCTAATCAACGACATGCAAGAATTAAATATGCTTCTAATATATCACGTTTGTGTGAAACAAGATGGTCGTAAAAATATAAGGCTATTAGGAAATTTTCATAAAGTTGTGGAAGCTTTAAAAAAGTTGTGAATGCAGGGAAAATTCACCACAAGAAAGTCTGCGTATCAATTGTGTGCTGCTATAACAAGGTCGATGTTCAGCATTGCTTCAATGACAATTGCTAAATGTTCAACGTTGCTGGGGTCTACAACAACATTTTGCAAATGAAGACAAAACACCTCATCGCCGTTGGTCAGCATATTGAAAATATTTTGGAGGTGGTTAAGAATGATCGCAAGAATGCAGAAGGAGTCACTACAGAGTTGATTAACAAATCTCATATTATTACAGCCGATCTAGGAGTATAAATTTCTCTACCAAGTGTGGCAGGTAAACCAAAAAAAAAAAAAAACAGAAGTAACCCCCATCGATCAATGAAAATCAGTACTGGCGACCGTCTATAAAAATACCGTATCTTGATTAACTAACGGCCTCTTTACAACTACGCTTTTTCAATGAAAATACTCCAGCTTTTTCGCTGTCTAGATTGCACCCATTGTATTCGATTAAATGTTGCAGTGAAAAGGTACAAAAGAAAGCGAAGCATTTTCAACAGATCTATGATCTAGATATGGGCAGTGTACTCATTCTTTTGTACAATTTATGGAAGAAAAGAACTTGTCCGAAGAAGATTTGAAAGATGTGGAATTTGTGGATCTATCTAAATAAAGAAGAGAAAATGAATTTCTACCAGCGATATATAAGTGTATTTCCATTTTGAGTGCTTTTCCATGCACAACAGCCACTGCGGAGCGATCGTTTAGTACACTTCGTAGAGTAGAAACCTGGTTCAGAAGCACAACAGGAGAAGAAAGGCTTTCTGTGATATGGCTCAGCAGGAAGGGATCGAAAAGTTTGCTGAAAGTCCGAGACGTTTGCGATTAGCGTAAAAATGCTTAAATAAAAAATATATCAAAAAAATTTAGTAGTCTATTTAATTTAATCCTCCCCAACCTTACATCAGATCCTGGCTACGCCCTTGTTGAAATCTCTTAAGATCAGCCAGCGAAACCTAACCTAACCGATCTACGTGTTCTGAGCATGAATTTTCTTTAAAACTTGTTTTCAATTCTCAACCCGCTTACGGCGATCGATACGCAAATATTGATTGAAAGAATCAAAGTTAGTGCCTAAATTCTTCCTGTTAAGAAAATATGCATAGTTTTATGACCTTTAATTACTCTATTTGCTTTTTTATAGATTTATAGACTCTAAATAGCCTAATCGGTAATAATTTTTCAATTTTTTCCCTTACAGATACCCTGACAGCAATGATTACCGATCGCAACAAATTCAATTTTGTTACGATATGTATCGGCTTAAGCCTCCTGCTCACCAATGCAAGCGTGGCGTCGACGCAAGCAACAAGCAATACGCAGCAGCAGGAGACTAATCAACAGCAGCAAGAGCAAGCAGTTCAAAATCAGCCGGCAATTGCTGCGATATCTGTGGCGCAAAACGAAGATGAAAGTACAAATGCGATTGTAAATGAGCCTGCAAATGGAGTAGGTACGTACGACTATTAGGTAAAGGAAATGAAAGAGGATGTAGCACGCAAAGAAATTAAAAAAAAATCCATAAAACAAATATAAAAAAAATTATAACAATAAATTAAAATAAAATAAATTAAATTAAATAAAAGAAAATCACATAAGATAAAATAAAAGAAAATAACGAAAAAAATAAAAAATAAATAAAAATAAAATAAAATAATTAAAAATAAAATGAAATAGAAAAATGAAATAAAATAAACTTAAAAAAGTATTATAAAAAGTAAACTGAAAAATAAGAAAACAAGTACCAATCAAATGAAATAAATTAGAATACAATAAAATAAAATAAAATAAAATAAAGTAAAATAAAATAAAATAAATTAAAATAAAATAAAATAAAATAAAATAAAATAAAATAAAATAAAATAAAATAAAATAAAGTAAAATAAAATAAAATAAAATAAAATAAAATACAATAAAATAAAATAAAATAAAATGTAATAAAAAAATATCGTGTAAAAATTAACTAAAACAAAACTTCAAACATTTTTTAAAAAGTAAACAACAATAAAAGGTCCAATAAAACAAAAAATTAAATTAAATTAAATGTAATAAAATAGAGTAAAGGATTATAAAATCCTGTGCTTACACTTTAAACTCTCAAAGCGACACGTTTTATTAACATCTTCAAAATGAGGATGGAAAAGACACATTTTAGTACGAATTAGTGAGTTAAAATATTCTACGAAAAAATCACTCCTTAAATTTTACTACAGCTATCTGAAGACAAGTCGATTTATATATAAAACTCTATGAAATATGTATAACTGCTTATAAAGCTTATAAAATTTACAAGAGGCCAGTTGAGCCCGATTTATGAATTTTCGTTTGATTATATTAATAAATTTTACATAATACAATTGCGGGGTTCCCCCAAAACGAAAAACACAAAAAAATTTGAATTTGCTTGAAACTTGCACTTTATTATGTATACTAAAATTTGATGACCCATAAAAGTGCATAGCAAAAATTTTTCCTAAAAACTCTAAAATAAAAGTGGTTTAATTTTGGTAAAAATTTGTTAATAGAATTAATTAAATTTGTTGAAAAATGAACTTTCCAGTTATGAACAGTCAATTCCAGTTTTGAATCACTGTGCGCTGAAACTGTCTTTATCAGGTCTTCCGTTTGCCAGCGCGAAAAAGTACAAATGTATGAGTGGTATTTTTGGCCTAGCTAATTCATCTGTCGCACAATTATCTGGTAAACTTTTGTGTCCTGAATAAAATTTCCCCTAGAGCATTGATGCAGTATAAAGTGAACTGGAAAATAATCGAAAAAGTAACACTTCTGTAGTGCAATCTAGGAACACTTACTTTTTCTTAAGCATAAAAAATATATTTAACAACTTTTTTACCGCTCAACCGACAATTTAACCTTTAAAAACCGTTGGAAAATCTCAAAAGATGCCAAAATGCATTTACTTCATTATATTTTTTCGTTTTTTTGGCCCTTCTTGTGCCTTATACAAAGTGTTGATATTTTATCTCAACCAGTGCTTAAATATTTTTTTAATTATATAATATTTTAGATATAATAAACCAACCAAACAATTCCCACCATTGTCCACTCGCGCGAACCATTGCAAACAAAACATGCTGTCTGTTATAAGTAGCGCTGGAAAATATCAATACCCAAATATAATTGTGACGAAATTTTAATGTACCATTGGCCGACGCGGTACATAATTTTAGCAAACCACAAGCAAAAGACAAAAAAAAAGGAAAATCAAATACCAAAAAAAATTACCAAACAACATTTGTTTGAATGCGCGGCATTGAAAATCGAAAGTGATACTGACAAAGTGGTGGCAGCAATGACGGTCAACGGCAGCAGCAACACAGTCATAATAACAGTCAGGCGCTGTCATACACAGCAGCACCGTCAGCAGGCAGAAGAGGCTATCTGGTAGCACACAGTCACTGTGAGAGACAGTTTTTTTTGTACAATCTAGCTGGTTGGATGGTTAGCTGGTTGGTTGGCTAGCTGGTTGTCTGCTGGCTACTGCTCTGTTAAGTTTGTATGCCTTTCTATACCCGAGCGCACTTGTCCGCAAGGGTATGTACTACTATTGTACCTTTTTTCGCATAACGGTTTTTTATAATACCAAAATGCTAGAATGAAAAAATAAATCTATTAAGTCATGTCCGTGCACACGATAACTTGAACAAAAATTTGGTATATAGGTTGCGCTTTATCCGAAATGGTGCGTAACCACGCCCACCTCCCATATAATGGATTTTTTGAAAAATGCAAAAACTACGATATTTCCGTGATTTGTTGAAAATTGGAATGTAAAGTTAATATTTTGGCATAAAATAAGACAATTATAAAATTTTTGAAAATTTGAGTGGCAACACACAATGGCTTTACAGTGGCCAATAATAGTAAAGACGAACTAGCGAAGTATGGAAAACCAACTATGCAGATTCATGGAAAAATGTTGTTTTTAGCCAAATAAGAAAAAAATGATAAAAATGCATATTTGCAGTCATGGGACGAGCTCAAATTAGATACGACGTAAAAAATAATAAATTTACGGACGGATCAAAGATGAAATGCGGTGTTGGTGTAGTGGTTTTTGTTGAGCAATATAACCTAAAGTTATCCTTCCGCCTACCAGCAAGGACCACGAACTAGCAAGCAAGTGGCCCCTTATATCAAAGAGAAAGAGGCAGCGGACGAACTAGCAAGAAGCGACTGCGCAATGAATGTGTCCAACGCTGTAGACATAGGCGCCTCGCTCTGAGAGATTAGCACAAAAATGACCGAAATTTATCACTCGAAGGCCAAGTAGAGGTGGAACCGTACAGGAACGTATAAGATTACCCGGCAGTTCTGGGTGTCCTACGACCCACTTAAAACCAAAGCTATCTTAGGAATGCGCAAAAATGATGTACCTTGGTACATGCCGAAAGCATTGAATTTCCCCTCAATAGGATCTGTCGCAGTTGCCATGACCCGGGCTCAAAAGAGACAGTCGAACACTTCCTGTGCGAGTGTGTCCAGCCCTCGCAAGGATGAGGCTAAAGACACTCGGCAATCCATTCCTGCAGAATATTTTAGAGTGCAGCTGCCTCTCTGTATGACGTAATGAAAATTATTAAAGCCGCCAAATTGCTGTAGGTTGTGCGAGCGCTTTGGAATCAAAATGGCAAATTTGCTAATGGCTTGCCACCAGGGCGACAATCCAGCTAAAACCAGCCAACCAACCAAAAAATAAATGTGTAAGAAAAAATGTTGATTTGTCGCAAGTAATTTTAATTAATTTGACCAATAGTGCGCATATATAATGAGCCAGAAATATTTTCCATTTTTAACCGACTTCCAAAAAAGGAGGAGGTTATCAGTTCGTCGGAATATTTTTATTTTTTTTTATGTATGTTACCGCATAACTTTGGACCACGTCAACCGATTTCGATAATTCTATTTGCATCGGTAAGGTAGTGTCTCAGAGGTGGTCCCATACTAATCTGGTTAAGATCCGATTAGTGGATCATGATATATATATATATATATATATTTTTTTTTATATGAGAGTTGAAGTCGATTTTTTTTTTGCTAAAAATTACTTGTTATTGTTTCTGTTGCTTGAAAAAGTGCATTTATTTTTATTTTTGAGAGCTGTTTACTGAACTCATTAATTTTGATAGAAGAAAAGTTCTTTTTTATTCTTCTTGTGTTATTTTGTATGAATTTTTCGTTTTACTTGATAGCTGCAAACAGCCCCTAAAACCAGTATTATTCGGAATTTCATCAAACTCTTTTGGACGTGACAGCGCATCGACTTTTACCATTTTCCACATTTCTGCAATCCCAAGTACGCAATACATAGTGCATATACGAAATTTCAGGGAGGTCCCACTGTGGACCGCACACTTTTATTATGATGAAATGCTATATCTCATTAGCCCCTTTACGAATCTGACAGAAATACGAAAACTGCCACAAATCAGTAACTACTATTTGCAATAATCACTTAGCAATAAATGAAATTATTAAACAAATTTTTGAAAATAGGAGTGACACCGTCCATCGTATATCGCTTTCAACTAAACTTGGTCCATTTATTTCATTATGATAAAAGGAGAAATACGTTGTGAGAGCTCGCTTCGACGCTACCTAAGCTCAAGGTTGTATTAAAGAAAGGCCGTTTGGTGAAATAGTACTAAATTTAGTACTATTTTTCGTACTAAAGTATTGAATTAAAATGTGTGAAAAACTGTGATTTTTGAAAATTTTATAGAAATACTAGCTAAATGATATATCTTGCGGGATACTTGTAAAATAAAAAAAAAGTAAACACAACATTTGAATTTTTTTATGTTCAACTTATGGGATTTTCACATAAATACATATACTGGAAAATATAGGTGTATTTGTATGTATATTTTTCTTTCGTATCAAAGTAATAACTAAAAATTTGAGAACAACTGAGAGTACCATTTTTACTACTTTTTCATGAAAATCGCTGTAATATAAAAAATTGTTTCTCAAAGAGGCAAATTGAAGTTTTCTAAGCGAGTTTAAGATGGAAACGCGAACGCGAAAGTATACCGCGTTCTTTATTGCATCATGCTATTTCATTAATTCTTATTGAGCATATTATCGAAAATGTTTGAAATAGGGGGAAAAAAATTTATTTAGTTAACAAACAATGCAATAATGAAAAAAAACAATACTTAATACGTGCGCCGGGTATATAAAGCTCGGTTTCGCCCAAACTTATACTTCTTTACTTGTTTTTTTTTTGCTACTTTTTTGACATTAATCGTGCTTGACACAGCCTATGCACATGCGCATGCGCACGAGTACATTGCAAATTTGTTGCGCCACGGTACAATAAAAATCACTGTTTACGTTGCTATGATGTGAATGTGCGGCTGTTTACATTTTTGTGGCTATTGTTTTTACTGCTTTTTTGTGTATGGGTGAGTGTGTGTCGTGTTTTGTGGG